AAACAGTGCAGCACCACACACAAAAACCAGTTCAACAACAGCAATTTCAGGAGAAAAAAATGTTGATTTTTTCCCGCTTCAGTCGAGCGATTCGTGGAAATGAAATGAAAATTATCACTATAATAACATACTGAGATAAAACTAAAGCACCGTTGAGTACAACAAGAGGAAATAAATGACCTGTAAGATAAAGTGAACAGCAATCATCGCGAAAATCGGATTCAAAAAATTATGACGTGATGTGAACGTTGCAAATTCAGAAATCTGCAAAGAATTGCTATAAACTGCACTAGCTGAATGTAGCCCAGATCCAAAAAGGACTCTGAAAGTTTGTATTTTTAAACTTTACATTTTTTATTAATTTTTATGATAAATTTCTCCTGCGTCCCCTTCGCGCCCATTGGCTACAGGCGCAACTTTCCGCACTACTACACCCTTTCCTTTCATCAAACCAACCTTCTTTCGCCTACAGCTTCTTGGTGGACGTAACTGCGACTGGTATTACATGCTTTCTCATGCATCTAGTACTGGCAGCTTTACTTTTGGTAAGCACTTCGCAACTTCTTACACAACACCCCGCCAAACTCCCACCTGTCTAACTCGCTGTGTTGTGTATTGCATTACCTGTACACGTTACGGTTTACAATACGTTGGCCAAACAAAACGAGAACTGCCTGTTAGGGTTCACGAACATAAGTGTTGTATTAATCGAAATTCCTCCAATTACATACTATATACTCATTTTCACAGTGACCGTGATATGTCCATCCAGGTCCTTGAGGCTGTTGATGATGTTCTTCGGATTACAGAGGCTGAATTTTACTGGACTTGTTTACTGCAGGCCACCTATCCTCTTAGGCGTGATGACCATGTTAAAGGTTTCGGCGTTGTTACACAGGAAGCAATTCACAGCCGCACGATCATCCCTTATTTTCATGTTCGTCTTCCTCGTCTCCCACGCTCACATGGTCGTAGACGCCGTACTTCCACCGTCATTAACAATGCTTCCATTAACACTGTGCCGCTTCCGCCTTTCGATGGCGCCCAAGAACTACAAACCTTCATACGTCTTCTTCACAGTCAAAGTAATCGCACCTTTCAGCTCACATTTGGACCTTTTGAGAAATCCAATTTGCACAGAGCCCTTGTTTGGCACATTCTAAGCCTCTTTCTTAAGGCTAGGCAACCGCCTCTAACCTCGAGTCGTAGCCGTGCAAAAATATTTTATGGCGTCATGCCCTATCCTGGCTCTGCTTATGACAGCTTAACTTATGGCCTGCTCGTTCACAATCGCGCATTCCGACTCCTGCGTGATGGCATGTTGATTCCTCGATTCATCGCAACTTTCAAATACGATCTTCCTCTTGGCCACCTATTTTGTAACCATATTTCCCTATTACGTGAATTTGCTACATTCTTCCTTCACCCATTGCTATTGCTCTAACTCCTTTGTTTATGAGCCTTTTGGTCAAATACTTACTGGTGATACAGGCATTTCAGGTGATTCCTTCTAAGAAGATTATTTTAGCCTTCGTTGCAACTATCGCCTAACTAGAAACATACACCCTGCCGATGTTTTACATCATTTCAACACAAGCTTCTCGGCATACACACACCTACTTGCCAGAAAATATAGCCTGGAACCTGCCCGAGTCCAGGCCTACCGTGACGATGCTTTATTCCGTGCTCATTGTCTGTTAGAAAGTTTCTACATCAACGCTTGGCCTATCCACAACATTACCCCTTCCAATCTTCTTAGTCGTTTTTCCCGCCAGCGCCACCGCCTAGTTATTACACCAGTTGACAAAGCACCCAATAACTATGCATTCATTTGTAAATTCCTCTCGTAAACGCCTCGTCGCCAGGAACTTGACATAAAAGACAATGGTGAGGTCCTCGGCAACGACACTTATATTCCTCTTCATGACGGTGCTTCGCAGATAGTTGCTAGCCATGATAAACTGCTACGCACATTCTAAGTTAGTTTAAACGAAAAAACCAACGGAAAAGCAGTCGAATTTCTTTGAAATACGCCCTCGAACAATAAATTTTTTACTAAGAAATTTGGAAAGTAACATCAAGATCTATTACTTCGTCAACTCTATCTAGAATCAAACCACCATTTTTCCTCTGTCTTTCGAAGATCACTTCCAGCTCATCCTGTTTCTCTCGCCATTTTTCCCAGTCAAAATCCCAATCTTCTTCTTCTTCGTCATCAGTGAGAGCAACATTGGGAGGTGGTGGCTGCTCGATCAGCAGCATATCGTTTTTGTTAAGCACTGCTCGGCATACTGGACATTTCACGTTCTGAAATTAATTCCATTTTAAACTGGTCAGCTGAAATGCACCTGCTTAATCAATTAAGCAAAAAAGCTAAAATACAAAATCAGCAAGAATAGAATTTAGGCTGTGCTGTAGATGAATATGCCAGAAAATGGCCTGAAGTTGTTGATGCAAATTCCACATCGCTATTTGAAAAAAACCCAGGCTGGAACGCACCAGGCGAGCCAGTGCGATCATGCGTTTTTGCATAAAACTTTGAGGTACTCCATCATATTTCCCTGCCCTTGCCTCACCCCCTCCACTCGCTATTCTCGCCCCTCTCCCCTCCCCCGCTCCCGATATTCATCTTCTCCAAGCGGTGATACTGTGCTGCATTATACAGCACGATTACAAAGCAGTATTCCGTGAGTACGGTACGATGAATATAGGTGGTCCAGAGCCCCTGCTGAGTGAGGGCTTGTTGGCTTGTTTATGGTGTTGATCGGTCTAACGCTCTTCACAGTGGGGTTGTTTGTGGTTGGGGGGGTGGGTAGTCGTCCGTGGTGGTGGGATGTGAGTTGGTGTAGAGGGGGGAAGGG